CTAATTTTTGTGTTTTTTTGCTTTTTCTCCTCGTTGCCCCTCACCCGGAAAATCCCCAGCCCTTCCCCACCTTCCCCTCCTTCCCCCTAGTGTTAAGGTTTAGTGGTTTCAAAACATGCAGGCTGCACAGGGCCCCTCAGGAGCGCGTGCTTAGGTGAGGTGGCTGCAGGGAGCAGAGGAGCCCGGGCTGCTTCAGTGCGCAGCAGGGTGGCCGTGCACCAGACCCCAGAGGCCTTGGGAGGAAGCTGCGGTTCTCAGTCACCAGCTTCTGCTTCCGGCTTGATTGTTTCCTTCCTTCTGTTTCCCAGAGACTTAGTTCACCGATGTTTTTTCTGATTTCTTGAGTCTGGTGCTCATTGCTTGGCTTTACTTTCTCTCTTTCTTTTTTTCTTTCTTTCTTCTTTTTGAGGCAGGGTCTCCCTATGCAGTTCAGGCTGGCCTTGAGCTCACTGTGTAGCCCAGGCTGGTCTCGAACTCGCAATAATCCTCCTGCCTCAGCCTCCCGAGTGCTGGGATTACAGGCGTGAGCCTGTACACACCTAGGTATTTGTCACCTTACAGCGATGGTGGCATTTTCTAAAGTTTTACACAGGTCGTTTCCTCCTTTGTGGTAACTATAATTTTTGCACTTCGCTTTGACTGAGGGTGTAAGTAGGAGTTTATATTTTCAGTGCCTAAGTGTGGAAGGATTTATCTAGCCTTTAATAAGTTCTGGTTTTGTTTCATTGTGGTTACAAAACAAGATCTAATTTGGAGTTTTTAAGAAACTACTGATGTTTTGCTGTAATGTCACACTTAATAAATTTTGCATTGCAGTTTCTACAGTATTTTGTTTATGGCCACAAGGGCTAATTCCCCAGTACCATCTTTCTGTCTTTCTAATTAATTATGTTTGATTCTCTTAATCTGTGTTGTCCCGTGTAGGTCCCCACTTGTAGCATTTGACTTGAATCAAGATGTTTTATAAATTTAAAACACCAAAATAGAAGACAGATAAATAGGAAATAGGGATCAGTTCAAATCCTTTCCCAAATTATATATTTTGTTGTTTTAAAAATATTTCAATATATATTAATTTCTTTTGTTTATATTATTCGTTTAGTTCCCTGAAAATAGAGTTTGTGTTACTCTTCTGTTTTTTGTTTTCTGGTTTATGTCTTGTACTGAGTAGCTACTTTGAAAATAATGATACACAGTATAACTATTGCTGTTCACTTATTTGGTTATGAAAATTTGTGCATACAGGATTTTAAAGACAATACCAAAGAGCAAAATATCTCAATAGGTTTTTTCCATATTGAAATAATATTTTGGATCTATCCGATGAAATAGAGAAATATCATTAAAATTAATCTCATGTATCTTTTATTACTTCTAATTTTTTTTGTATTTTGAATGGGAATTGAAAATTTATACATGTATCTTGTATTTCCATGGACAGCATATATCAGATGTGATAGTAGTTATCTTTGTCCACTTGATCTGAAAAGCCAGTAGTGGCATTTGAATATTTTTAAGAGCAGAATATACTTACTGAGAGAAAGAAAGTTTCTGTCTAAGGGAGACAGAAGGCGTCCTGCCTGGGTTGCCGAGGACCCTGCCTTTTCCAGAGATTTTTATGCAGCAAAACCATGAGGTGAGGTGGGTCTAAGGTGGGGAAAAATGGGAACTCACAAGGTGGGCATGAGATGGGACAGAGCTATGGTCAACCAATAAGCTTATGAGTATACTTGCTCAGGAAAAATTGATTAAATTGAGATCCAATGTGGAGCTGAGTCATGTAGCAAGCAGGTGTGAATACAGAACTGGGCTTTTGTCTTAGGGGGCTGGGTTAGTGACTCTTTCTGGCTTCCTTAAGGAGATCCATAGCTACTTAGAATATCAGCCCCTGGTGTTTATCCTTAGGAAGTATGTGGGTGCATTTGTTCAGTCTTGAGATCTTGGCCTGCAGGAGGGTGTCTTCCCCATAGTTACAAAGTATCTGCACTGGCTCCTTCAAGGGTCCAGCTCTGTCTGGCTACCTGTAATATTTCTATTTAATTTAACTGCCTGTAACATTCCCCCCTCTTTGAAGAAGTACCCTGAACTTCAGTGAGGGAGAAATGGGTGATGCCCAATCTGGCTTATTCAGGCTAAGGGGGTCATAGTTGTTGACCGACAGTCTGAGATCTCTACAGTGGGTCTATCTAAAGGCCCTCAATAGATACCAGGCATATTCTCTCCCTCTCTCTCTCTCTATCCCTCTCTCTCCTTCCTTCTTCCCTTTTCTTTTGACTCTAGGCATTTCTATCTTGGGCAGGCGCACGGCTTTAAGTTTGAAGGAGACAAAGCAAAAAACACAGTTAAGTATATAGGGGCCAAATAATAGAATCAACAGGATAATTATGAGTACAGTTAACAAGGATTTCTATCAAGAGGAGCTAGGGATGGCTTCCCATACGGGGGACAAGGATATGGTCCAGGGAATTTTAAGAGTCTGATGTGTCATTGATTTGTTGTCTAATACCTTGAATGGCTGTTGAGATATTAGCAGAAGGTTCGGGAATGTGTACATAACATTCAGATTTTGTAGTTGTACAAGTGAGCCTCTATGCTGCTGCTAGAACATCTAATGTGATTTTTTTTTTACTAATTTCTGCTTATATGTCTTACAGTTTTCAGTGTGTACTAAAAATTTGGTTACTATGAAATTATTGCTACTGTGATGTTAGCACACAGGTTATGTCTACTGAACTTTATACTTGGTATCACAAGGTGATTCTCTGTGGCTGTTTCCAATTGTTCCTCGAATTCTACTTTCTTTGTTTTGAGACGGCCCTCAAACTCATGGTAATCCTCCTGCCTCAGCTTCCAGAGTGCTCGGATTACAGGTGCAGACCTCCACGTGCCACCTGAGCTCTACTTTCATATAAATCATTGTCACTGTTGCTTTTAAAGGAATTAACCTATGACACTTACACATTTAATTTTGGTTTCATTTTGTAGCATTTAGATAGCCATGAAACCCTCTTTATTTTCAAAATCATATGAAAATCTTTGCTCTTGATATAAATGTTTGACTTTACAATATTATCATCAGCAATGTCATCTTATTAGTTCCATATTGATGTTGTGTGTCTTTTGTCTATTTTTAAAAAACCAGTTTAAAGCCTTCAGTTCTGGTTGGACTAATGTTCAAGTTTCGCAAACCGCAGTTCAGCCTAGTCGTTCATCGCCACCGACTTCCCGCGTGTGGCCAGTGGGTGTGAGACCGTGGATCCTCACCCTGACGTGCATTCTCTGAAGTTAGTTAGTACTTGGTTATTTTCATGGGTCTCTTTGTATCTTCTTTGGAGAAATGTCCTTTGGTCCTTTGTAAATTGGGTTATCAGCTTACTGTAGACCCATGAGAATTCTCCCTGTTTCTACCTGCAAATCTCTCCTCCCCTGTGTGATGCATGGGTTCTGTTCTCTGGGCTCTTTCCACTTTCATGGCATCCTTTGACGCCCTTCCGTCTTCATTTTGATGGTGTCTGTCCAATTTATGTATGTTTTCTGATGGAATTTTAGGATCAGCTTGTGAATTTCTGCAGAAAAGCCAGCTGAGGTTTTTATAGGGATCACACTGAATGTTGACATCAGTTTGGGAAGTAGAGCCATTTTTAACAGCAGCAAACCATCCAGTCCATTTGCCAGGTCTTCCTGAATTTTTTTCCTCTTTTCTTTTCTTTTTCTCTTTGAGACAGGATCTCACTATGCAGTTCAGGCTGGCCTTGAGTTCACTGTGTATCCTGGGGTGGCTTTGAATTTGCATCAACCCTCCTGCCTCAGCCTCCCTAGTGCTGGGATGACAGGTGTGTGCCACCTCACCCAGCGATGGGTACATTTTTGGAGGCAAAAGTTTTAAGCGTATTATTTATATCATTCTTTGGAATGAAAGCATATGTAGCTATTTTTGGCAACTCTAATCATTACTAATGTACTGAATCTTTGAAAATGTGCATACCCCCAGCTTTTTTTCCTAAGGAACGTGACTGGTTCTGAGTGACACATTTCCGTCAGGCCCATTTTGTGACATCTGTTCCTGTTTGTGGCTGTCTCCTTCTCCAGAACACAATTTTCTTTCCTCTCTGTGGCGTTGTCATCTTTACTGATGGTGCCTCTGTTGACTAATGTCCCCTTGAATGCCTGCTTCAGGATTTCATGGCTCAGCTCTGTTCTTTGCTTCAGCTGTAAATAAGGTTTTTCTCCTCTAGCTTCTACTGGCTGTGACTTCTATGACTTATTTATAATGCTTATATTATTATTATGAAATTAACAGCCCACCCTCTGCCACTCGTGATTGTCACTATGTAGATGTATCTTTAAAATGACTTAGAAAAGTTATGTCTTGCTGTTGATATGTGCACTGGCTTTCTAAATTCATTTTAAGGTCTCCAATTATTAGAGCATGCCACTTGTAGACCTGTGTAATATTTTAGTTATTGTGTAACATACACATAATATAAAATTTTCCATCTTAACTATTATTAAGTATACAATTATTATTATTAAGTATACAATTCAGCCGGGCATGGTGGCGCACACCTGTGATCCCAGTTATTTGGGAGGCTGAGGCAGGAGGACTGCAAGTTCAAGGCCAGTCTGGGCCACTTAATGAGACCCATCTCAAAGCAAACTTTAAAAAGGGCTGGGGGGAGGGAGGCTCAGTGGTGTCGTGCTTACCTAAGCGCACAAGGCTGGGCTACAAAGAAAAAGAGTACAGTTCCAGGGGGTCAAATTCATTCGAAATAAGTGTTAATTCCTTAATCCTGCAAGTTTTCCTGTTCCCTTTTTATGCCTTCTTCTCTGATGACTGCCTATCTATCTATCTATCTTTTTGGGACAGTTTCTTACTATGCAGTTCAGGCTGGCCTCTAAGGCACAGTGATCCTCCTGCCTCAGCCTCCAGAGTGCTGAGATGACAGGAGTGAGCCATCACATCGGCCCTGACGACTGCCCTGTCTTCCCTCTTCCTTTAGATGCTGAAGATTTCCTGGCAGAAGGATTGCGGAATGAGGACCTGAGCGCTGAGGCCTGGGACCACAGGGCCCACATCCTCCGGGGCTTCCAGCAGATCCGAACCAGGTTGGTACACAGTGTTTGCTCAGTAAGCACTGAGACAATCTGCAATCAGTCAAATCGACTTCAATGGTTCATTTCAGATAAAATACACCTGTTGTATTCCTGCCTTACATGCAGTGGGATCTTGATATTTAGTAAGTGCAGTTGACCACAGTAAAAATATTTGATAAATTATGTACTTTAAGATTAGTGCTCTGGCAAGCGCAGGGTTGTGAGTTTGATCCCTGGTGGAAGAAGAAATGAGCGTTCTGCTTTTAGCTTTGGGATTCTGCTTCAGCTCTCACTGAGCACTTTTGTATTCAACAAAATAAACAACCCTAGTTAATCCACAGGGCACTGTTACCTTCAGGGCGGTCACTCCGAGACATCCGAGGTCTCTTACAGGTTCAGCACAGGACTTCGAGAAGCCAGAGGCACAGAGGCAAGTCAGGCTTCCAGTGCTGATCTGACTGTCACGTCTCCTTGTTCGACAGACAGCTCAAAGCGGACTTTTCCACTTGATTATTCGACCAGATTGGAATAGTTTAGCCCCAGGGCGAGCCAAGATATCAAGCAGTTTCCCAGGCTCACCATGGTGTAATTTGTACCTTAGGGAACTCAAGGTTTTACAGGCAACGCCCCACTGGGGGACAGGAAATGCAAGCCGAAGCCTTTTGCTTGAAATGTGGCCACAGAACAAAAGCTGGGCCTGGGCTCTCGGGAGAGCTTAGCTGAGCTGAGTCCTCTTAGCAGCCACACAGTCCTGGCTAAGCTGGTTGAATTTGTGCAGCAGCCTGCGCTTAACCTCTGCTGGGAAGAGCTTGTTGAAACTCCGGAAACAGCCAGTTTCACTCTCAGAAGGGCGTAGCAGGAGCCTGCCTCCTGAGGAGGGTACAGACCCTCAGGGCTGGTAGGTCCCCCCCCCCCCCCCCCGGTCTTTTTGAGACAGGGTCTAGCTCTGCAGTTCAGGCTGGCTTTGGGTTCACTTTGTAGCTCAGGCTGGTCTCAAACTCACAAGGATCTTCCTGCCTCAGTCTCCCGAGTGCTGGGATTACAGACGTGAGCCACCACACCCGGCTCACAGGCTGGATTTTAATCCATCTTTGCTGCTGGCTAAATTGAGCATTACTTTTACCCGACGCTGAGGACCATGAGTATCACCAACCTGGCTCGTCCTGCAGTTAAAATCCCGGGAACACAGAGGAGGAGAGCTTTGTGCAGAAGCGGGGTGAGGACGGAGTACCTCCTGCTTGGTAGACAGGCAGACTTGGGACAGACTTCTGTGTAAAGCGAGTCCCTCCACAGATGGGTTTAGGCTCCACTGTGGCCTGGAGGCCTCCTCCGTACCCCGTAGGGATTTTGATCCGCGGGCCGGTTCACTGTGCACTGTGTGCAGGAGAAGAGAAGCCCCAAGGGTGGCGGTGGCTGCAGCGGAGCCCTCGGTGTGAATCTGTGACGAGCAGTGCCCAAAGAGCAAAGACAGGAGAGGAAATTCTTCTTTCCTAGCTCTGTATCAGCACGGGGGAAAAAACTAAATTTCAGCCTTCAGGGGTGACAGAAGGTAAACTGGTGGCCACGCATCACTGTGGGTCTTACTTGCTAATTCTGTTTCGACATGTTACACACACACACACACACACACACACACACACACACACACGCTGCGTCTCTCAGGCAGGACAGGGGGCCCTTGGTCCCCAAGCGCGTTCTCCGAGGTTTGTGGGGACACCCCGGAAGCCATCAGCGGGGCTTCCGTCCCTGGAGGTGTTACAGGAAGGGTGACACTTTATTTAGAGTTTTGGAATTATCGGAATGCTGAAGAAATGAGGGGCCAGAAATGAGATTCCCACCAAGGAAGCGGTGGGGAGACTGTTTGCCGAGCTGCTGGGAAGTGCCTGGCACCCCTCCGCCCCCAGTGTTTCCCGCCCCCAGTGTCACCCTGGTTTTCCTGAATGCTTTTGTCCATCGTGTCCCCTCTGCGGAGGTTGGCAGCATGGTGCGTTTCTGTCCGTGGACCCCATGGAAACGCTGAACTCTTGGGAAACCCTGGCCACACTGGTGGTGGTGTATGGCAGTTTGCGTGTCCCCCAAAAAGTGGGTACAAAAAATGTGGAACTCATCACACCAGAGAATTAGTTGTCTTGGGTTGAGAAACGTGGAGATAATTTTTGAAAGTCATTTTAGGAGTTTTATCTTTAGTCTTATCAAGGAGACATGATTTTAGGGATTTGGTAAATGTTAGATGGTAAGAAGCTGTCTAAAATTACTTTGGCCGGGCTAGTGGCTCACACCTGTGATCCCAGTGCTCGGGAGGCTGAGGCAGGAGGATCGTTGCAAGTTCGAGACCAGCCTGGGCTACAAAGTGAGCTCAAGGCCAGCCTGAACTGCATGGTGAGACTCCATCTCAAAAAGACAAAAAAATGTTACCAAGGAAGGCTAATGTTTCTTATAGAAGACAACACAGAGAAGCACGTCAGTGGACTTAAGTCCACAGAAACGAAGCCCTGCATGGCCCTGGCGCCCCTGGATCTTGCACCATGATTTGCATCCCAGATCCCCACAGAACCGTCCTCCTGGACACCAGCGCTGTCACAGTCTAGTCCAGGGAAGCTCGGGTGAGAGCGGCCACAGACTGCTCTGCTGTTCCCGCGGTCACTACCAGCTTAGCCCCAGGGATGGGACCCTGGAGTGACCCACATGCATTTGTGCTGTGTTTGGTCTGGCAGGAGCTACGGGCCGGCGCCCACACATAAACAGGGATGGGGAACCCAGCGGTTTTGATGCAGGGATGGGGTCCCTTTCCGTGGCCCTAGATGGAACAGCTGGTCACTTGCGCCCACTGTTGGAGATGAGAAGCCAGCGCCGGTGGGAAGCAGGTCCCCTCTGTGAAACTTCACCGCGCTAAAAGAAGGCCAGAAATAGGAGGACATTTATAGGATATTGAAGTGGAAAAAACGTAATAATAATTAGCTGTAGCAGGTCATGGCCCAGAACCCACCAGACCCGAGGTGGTTATAGGACAGATAGAACGTATCTGAGCATTCCTCTCAGGGGTGGTTTGTGTGTGGCTGCCCATGTGTAGGGCATCTGAGCACAAGGCTGGAAAAATAATTCTGCCTTCCTTGGGGAATTTTAGGTTTTCTTCTTTACTTAACACGGATTTTATTTTACATGTAAAGTTAGCTAAAGAATATATCGCTCTGGTATCTGTATTATAGGGAAAGAGACAAGGAGTTAGTCTGGTACAGGTCTTGGGAACAAGGATTTTAAACTAGCATCCTGGAGAAAATGGTGACATGTCCTGCACTCCTAGCACTCAGGAGGCCGAGGCAGGAGGGTCACTGCAAGTTTGAGGTCAGCCTGGGCTACACAGTGATTTCACCTGAACTGCCAGCCTGAACTGCATAGATGGACCCTGTCTCATAAAATCAAAGCAAACAAATGAAAAAGCACAAGAAAACCAAAGCTAGTGTATTGCAAATATTATCACCATTAATTATATGGCTCTGCTTTTCCTAAGTAGTAGATACTGAGCTTAAGAGTCCCCCAGATAAAACACACTCAAGTAATGTGTCCAGCCAGAACACTAAGGCTCAGTGTGCTCTCGGTACATGTGTGTTACTCCCCAGCTTTGCTCCTAACATATTTCTCTTCTTTAATTTGCCACTTAGGACGGGGCTTTAGTGCAATGAAGGGGAAAAGGGAGTTGGAGAGCGCGGCGCCATCCATCTAAGTTCAAATGGCTCCGGAAAGCTCACAAGTCGTAACAGTAACTTGACCACATTTTGAAGGTTAATAATTCATTTCTTAGCCAGGCGAGGTAGTGCATGTTTGCAATCCCAGCTCTCAGGAGGATGAGGCAGGAGGATCACTGCAAGTCTGAGACCAGCCCGGGCTACAAAGTGAGCTCAGGCCAGCCTGAACTGCATAGTCAAAAAGACAAACAAAAATTCATTTCTTTTTTTTTTAGCAAGGCTGTCTCTTGATTGATTAGTTATATATATGCCACATTTCTTTGCTAGTTTTCTGTGGTTAAATATTTTTTTGTACATCTGCCTCTGACTGGAGGATTGTTCAATGATCTTTTTCTTTTCTTTTTTTCTTTATTGAGACCAGGTCTTGGTGTTATTTCAGGCTGGCCTTGAACTTACTATGTAGCACACTCTAGCCTCAAACTCACTGTGACTCTCCTGCCTCAGCCTCCTGTGTTGGTTTTATTAATTACCATGGGTTCCTTGGCCTAACTTTTAAGCCTGCAAAGGAAGATTATGGATTCTTTTTTTTTTTTTTTTTTCCTTTGAGACAGGGTTTTGCTTTGCAGTTCAGATTGGTCTTGAGCTCACTTCATAGCCCAGGCCAATATTGAATTTGCAGTAATCCTCCTGCTTCAGCCTCCCAAGTGCCGGGATTATAGGTGCCACCACCTTGCCCAGCCTGATTATGGATTCTTTTGTGACACTTCTTTGTCTTTTTGAAGCAGCCTTAAGATGTGTAACTCTCTTTTTAATTTGATGATGATGATTTTGTTTACTCTTTCACCTGTAAGAGCACTTGAATTGCAGGGCTTAACTGATTCTTCTTTCTTTCTTCCTTTTACTCTGCACTGTTGTGGTAGCATAATGGGAGGAACTCCTCCCTTGGGTGTCTCATAAAATAAATACTGTTTATGGGGCTGGGGATTTAGCTCAGCGGCATAAGCGCCTGCCTTGGAAGCAGGCAGTCGTGAGTTTGATCCCTGGTACCGATAAAAACGAAAAAGACCAAAAAAAAAAAAAAAAAAAACTGTTTATAGGTATTCGGAGCCATAGTAATAATTTCATGCTAAGTAACAGGTGAAATCTTTAAAAAGCTTGAAGAAATTTGTTTCTTTTAAAATTTTTGACTGAAAAACTGACAATTTTTTCTTATATAATACCTTTTCTGTATAATAAAAAACTAGCAAAGTCTTTGGTGGAGAGAATAAATGCCCAACAGTAAAACTGTGGTTATGATATTTTGATTTTATAGCTTTAAGATTTTAAATAGACGTTTAGGAAAATTCCTTTTAAGAGTACCTTTAAATCACTTGCAAAAAGGAGGTGATATATAATCCCTCCCTTAAGGAGCTCCTTAAACACAGTCTATGGAGAGTGTAGAAGAATTTTGAAGCGTAATGTAGGTGACTGAGCTTGTATTCTTGGGGAGGAACTAACTCTTTAAGATTTACTTATTTATTGATTTGTGAGGCAGGATCTGGCTGGGTGGTCCAGTTGGACTTGAACTCACCGTGCAGCTCAGGCTGGCTCTGAGGAAGATCCTCCTGCCTCAGCCTCCTGAGTTCTGGGATCACAGGCATAACCACCATGTCGGGTTAGAATATCTTTAATATCTTTAGCCAGATGGTTGGATCGCAGAGTTTGCTTTGCCCTGACAGGACTCACCCCTCACCCTCACCGGATGCGTTTTGGTCGCAGACTCCTCAGTGTCTCTTTCTGTTCCCGTGGCTTTTCCGCTGTCTGCTCGTGGAAGCTGCACAAGTTCACTGTGTGAAGCTGCTGGCCCCTCTGAGCCCAGCTGCCCTGTCCTCTGTCTGGAGGAGGCTGGTGGCCAGCGCCGCCTGGTCCTTCTGTCCTTGGGTTTCCGGGAACCCTGCGAGCGGGGCTTGCTGGGTCTCGGCTTCTCCCTAAGGCACAGGCTCCCCTGGCTGTAGATCCACCCCTGTGGCTGGCTATCCTACAGTGAAGCCACAGAGAGCTCAGGGGCGCAGCTGAGCCGGGGAAATCGGTCCCCAGCATCTGCCCAGCCCTGCGGATCCATCTTCAGCCCGGCCTGGAAGGTGCAGACGAGCTGCCCGAGTTTTGGCTTTGGATTTACCCAGGTGTCGCCACCAGCCTGCCGACGGGGCAGTGTTGCAGGCCAGCTGCTGACCTGTGCTGGAAGGCTCAGCCCGTGGCCCCAGGCCTGATGTTTCTTTGTGCTCCTTTCCAGACTCAGCAGGGCTGCACAGTGGCTTTGATTCTCTGGGCTCCAAAGGGTGCCCTCCCGGGGATCTGAAAGGGAAACAAAGTCAGTGAAGGGTGACAGACCAGGCTGGAAGGAAGCAGTGGCCGTCTCTGGTGGCTGTGACTGTAGCTGGACGTAGAGGTCCCTCTGCAAGGCCAAGGACACTCGGGTTGGAGCCCAGCGCTGGAGCTGGCCGGGGTGGTGCACGCCCATAATCTCAGCACTCAAGAAGCTGATGCAGGAGGATCGCCACCACAAGGACCACCACAAAGAGGCCAGTATGACTGCATAGAGACAGCCTCCACCCACCAAAAAAAAAAAAGTCCCCATTTAGAGCGTCCCAATCTTAAATAATCTACCCACAAATAGTTCTGTGGGAACGTGTGGCTAAGGGATGATGCGGGACAATTAAATGTAAATACTTAAATGCAAAGTCCCTCTGGTGTCTGTGAACTGCTGCAGTTCCTTGTTTTGCAGAAAGTCACACTATGGTAGTGCAGGCTGGTCTCAAACTCGTGGTGATCCTCCTGCCTCAGCCTCCTGAGTGCTGGGATTACAGGCATGTGCACCACTCTGCCCAGCTGACGTTCTCATTATAAACTGCAGAAAGCTCACATAATTTCCAGTTTGCTATTTCTCTAGGTTGTATTAATGGCTTTTGTTTGTGAATTCTCCCGTAACCACAAAGTGCATTTCTGCTTTTGCAAATCGAGACCTACCACATCTGCCAGCTGCCTTTTTTCTTCTGTTAGTGAGAGAACTGACATAGAAGACATTTCCACCCAGAGGAAAGGGTGAGGAAAATGCGGTGATGCACACAGTGGAGTACTGCTCTGCCATAAAGAAGGGTCCGCTTGAATCATTTGTAGGAAAATGGGTTCACTTTGAGGCCACAGTGTTAAGTGAAATAAATCAGAGGGACAAGCTTCAGTATCACTTGGTTTTTCTTCTATGAGGAACCTGAAGTATAAAGCACAAAGATAAATAAAGAGCAAAATAAAAGATAACAGGAAGTAGGGAGCTGGGGAGGGACTGAGAGATGGAGTGAGGGAGAAAACTGGGACAGAAAAAGAGACCAAACGGAGGCTCCTCTGCGAGCCAGCCCACATCGGGAGTGCAAACACTGTTATCGCAAACAAGGAAGAAAAGAAGTACTCAGTGTAACAGGAGTCATGAAAGCTTAGGACTTAGAATTTGTAACCGGTTCCCTCCTTTACTTTATTTTTTAAGAAATGAAGTGATGGTTTTCAAGACAGCATGAGTTTGACAGCACTGTTTGCGAATATGGAAGTTAATAATGAATGCGGAAGTGTTCCAGGGTGGGTGTTCCGGGGCTCCCATTTCACTCCCCAAAATAAGGGGGCTCCATGGGGAAGACTGTAACAGGATCTAGAACCTGGGGTGGTTGTGGGGAGGTGTGGAGGTTCTTTCAGGTTCTGTGCGTGTTTCAAATTTTCACAATCAAATGTTGCAAAAAGCATGGGATTGGTTTGGATTTGCAGTTTGGAAACTGTAGACTTCCGTAGTGTGGAAACAGAATCATATGTAGTTGTGGGTTTTACAATGATGGTTTTCTAGCAGTGGACAGTATTTTTGCACAACTGCACTGAGGGCTAATGTGCCAGTTCATTTCTGACATAACTAGCAGGAAGTAGCTAAGTTTTGTATTTCCTGAAAACTTCCAGGCCAGCAATTATTGAAGGCTGAAATTCAATTCAAACACTCTGCCAAGGAGATCCTGAAATTTTGGTTCTTTTTTTTCCTAGAGGAAAGCAATTTCTGACTTTTCTCATAAATTCGATCAAAGGAAAGCTTATATGAGATTGGTAGTCCAGTAGGAAATGGAACTCAATTTTACATTTTTAAAACCATTTTATGGTATTAAAAATGACAGAGGTTAGAAACAAAGCTCTTGTTCTTCTTATTGAACTAGAATTGAAAGTGGCAGAAAATCATTTTGGCCCCTGCGCAGTAAATGTGATCACCGAAACATGTTCGGGGGAGACTAGGGGGTCTCTCAGCTCCAGAGACAGAGCTCACAAGCGGGGAATTGGGTTTTCTGTCCTCATCTTGAAATTATTAGGTGTGCAGGAGATGTGACAAAGGAGACAGGACTGCTGGGTGTGTGGGAAATGATGCTGGGGCCGGGGATTCAGTTCAGTGGTGTAAGCGCCTGCCTGGCAAGTGCAAGGTTGTGAGTTTGATCCCTCGTACCAAAAAGAAAAAGAAAATGATGCCCCCATGGTGGAGGGGGAACTGGACAGGATGTGGCACCGCTGGCCGAGGGAAAGGACAGGGCCAGTACCCAGGCCACAGGGACTCAGGACCGGAGAGAGCCCTGCTGGCACTGCCGTGTAAAAATAAATAAACAGAAGTTTAAAAACTGCTGCTGTTCACTGAAGGAACTGTTTGAAGACTCCAGATTAAACTGGAGAAGTCAGCAGCTATTTTCTTTTGAGAATCTGGTAGGAGGGAAATTTTAAGCCCACGTGGGAAAAACCACTCACTTCGGAGTCCACGGTGTGATTAGGCTCCCGAGTTTTGTGTCCACGGAGCAGGTTGGCAGGCATATGTTTGCTGATCCCAAAAATGATTAAAATTCCGAATACGTAAGGCTCTTGTGAAACTGAGGCTTCAGGCTGCAGCCAGCGTTCTGTCCTGCCAGATGGCAGAACAGGAATTAATAGCTGTTCCCAGATTCCTGCAAACCGAGCGGAAGTGTGAGATGCCCACCCTGGCTGCGTGTGTAGCAAGAGTTGCTCTGAAGCAAAGGCCCTGCCTGAACTCTCCTGCCTTCCACTCTGTACTTTAAAATACAATTTAAAAATTTATTTGCATTTTCTTAAACTAAAAAAAGGGGTGTCTTGGTTACTTTTACTTTTTTCTTATTGCTGGGACAAAATAACACTCAAAATGAAGGAAGGACAGGTTTATTTAGCTTACAGTTTCTGGAGGTTTCAGTCCATAATCAGCTAGCTGCAAGGCAGGGTGGCAGGGCACCGGGGCAGCAGCACTTCAAGGCAGCTGCCAGAGCAAAAGGGGCAGAACAAGACTCTTCTCCCCCTACCCAGGCTGGGTGTAGCACTCACAAAACCTCTGTGCCCTCCTCTTGCTCAGGATGAGGACAGTTACAAAGTAAGGACCCTGGCTTGACCTTCGCAGGTTGACACAATGTATCAACCATAACAATGGATAAAGGATAGCAAGAAAGCCAGGAAAGTCTTGGACCTTGGAGAGAGGAGTAAGCAGAAAAGATAAAGCAAGGAATCTTTGTGGCTAGTTTTTGGCTCCTGAAACTCCAAGTGGAGTCCCAGGGCTTAGGGCACCAACGGTCTTTCCTGGAAACTCGTGGGAAGTGCAGGGTCTGAGGCCCCATGGATGCAGAATCCACCTTAGGAGATCCCCAAGCCGGGTGCCTGCACATTAACTTCCAAGACATGCTGCTCCAGTGTCCACAGCTGACCTCGTTATTTTGTATTTCCCTCATCCCCTCAAGGCCTTCTTTCTCTTGGGGGTGCAGGTCCCCAGGGCCAAATCCTGGAAGTCGTTCCTGATTTCTCTGTCTTCATTTCCCGAACCCTGGACAAGGCCTGATGATTTTGTTTTCATTTTAGTGGTACTGAGGATTGGACTCTGGCCCCTTCACACTCAGCTATATCCCCAGCACATTTTTGGAATTTTATTTTGAGAAAAGTTCTAGCTAAATTGCCCAAACTGAGCCGAAGCTCGCAAGCCTTCTACCTTAACTTCCCAGAGTGCCACGGGGCATGCCTGAACTTCCCAGGATGCCATGGGGCATGCCTTAACCTCCCAGAGTGCTGTGGGACATGCTAGCTGAGATTTGCTGATTCTTCACCCCAAAGCTGTCTTCTCATATCTACTGTCAACAGCTAACCACTGCCTTCCTAAAATGCAAGCTGAGCATCATAAAATGCTTTATTTTCTGAATTTCTACCTCAAGCCTGTCCCTGTTCAATTTCATTCTGTTCCTTTAGTCTGTTGAAAACTTGTACAGAATGGTCATTTAATCATCCATGTTGTAGGAGATTTATTGGTGCAGGGTGACAAGATACACTGTAAGTGGAAAAGTAGTCTTAAAATACATAAAATCTCACAGAGAAAAAAGGATCCTGAAAAAGTATACAGCAGAATGTTAATAGTAGTGATTTCTTCTTTTTAGTTGTATTTTCTCTCTATGGTGAATGTTCACTTACTGATTAGTTCACCTCAGAGTCTTTCTTATTTTAAAGAGAGGCAGGGATTAAAAGTGTTGAAGAGTATTTGGTTCCCAGGTGGAGGGAGAGCGAGGTGGGAAGGGGAAATCGGGGTTTAATCGTGCAGCTCATTCAGGGCCGCCTTGTGGTGCAGGTAAACAGCTGTGTTCAGAGGTGTTTCATTCCAGGCTTACATATACACAAGATGAAATTATTCTGAGTCATAAAATGCCGAAGTCTTGAATATTTTATGATGATTTTTCTAAAACACTTTTTTTTTTTTAAATAAAGGAAGCCCACACTCAAGATGTATTTGAGGTGTCACTGACTGGGAACAACTTCCGCGCCTTAGATGTTTTGCTGTGAGCTACCCGAGCTGACCCGGGGTGGACCCTTCATTAGGAAGGGGTCCCCTAGCTCCGTGTGACCACTGAGTAACACATTTATATTTGTCCAGCAGCTTTCCGGGGATGGTGCTTGGGTAAACTGCTCACTTCCTGCTTCGCAAAACATCCCCATGATTGATTTTTGTGTTGGTCATAAAGAGAAATGGAATCAGCTAAAAGCAGGGTGAGGGTTACAGGCTGGAAGCAGATCGTTTACTTAGCAAATATGTATCGGGCCGTTTGTTTACGCTGGGCGTGATGCCAGGTGATGCAGACCGTGTCGCAGAAGACAGGTCCTTGTTCCAAGCACTTCTGGGATGGGTGAGTGGCCAGAGTCCTGGGCAGAGTCCACCTGGAGCCCCCGACTGTGGATACCTTTCTTTGGAGGCCTGAAATGTTTCAATGGACCGCACGCCTGGAATTTTACATGTTTAGAGATTCAGCTGGTGTTGACATCCTTTTTTAAAATAAAAATCCACTGAGGAGTTTAGGAGAGGTTAGCTGTTCAGTCACATGCTTGGCTCTATTTAAAGATTTTCGTCTAACTTTTGGCTAAGGTGACTGCACTACAGAAATTCAGTTGCCATTAAATTTGTCAAACCAGTTATGGGCAACAAAGAGTACAAGGCATGCAGAGCGGAATGAAAGGGAGAAATAGAGCTTCGGAGACTGCTAACTCTACAGTTTAACGATTAATATTGCAGTCTTTCTTCCACCCTGACTGCCCGAGGGCCTGCCACCATCATGAATGATGCACTTCCTGTCCAGACAGGAAGTTCATGGCCAGCTGACCACAGCACTGCAAAGGAAAGAAACAGTCAGTGACGTCCTTCCCCTGGGAAGGCAACAGGACCTAAGACAGAATTTGGGGGAAACTCACCTGTATGTACAAGATGACTCCAGATGTTATCTTTGTATTTGGAATCAGAACTCATTTTGTTAATGGCAAGGCATCAGGCTGTAGCATGATTTCTGATTCCTTGGATTATGAACAGAAAAATGCATACAAACAGATGTGTAAGGCATGGTCTATATGAGAAGAAACAAAAATCTCAAAGAGCAAAAGAATGTAATGTTGGTGCTAGCAGAAAAATATTAAAAGTTCTACAATATCTTTAGGGTGATTGTGCAAATTTTTCATAAGAAGATTAGCTACAAAAACTTCAAAAAAATTACTGTCACAGCTACTGTTTATTACTCTTTATTAGCACATACAAGACCCAGGGTCACTTTACACAGATATCTCATTTAACTGTTACAGCAGATGTGTGCCGTGGGTACTGTTGAACTACCCACTTAGTAGTGAAAACACTGAATTTAAGAGACATCATCAAGGGGCTGGGGATTTAGCTCAGCGGCATAAGCACCTGCCTTGCAAGCAGGAGGTCGTGAGTTCGATCCCTGGTACCGGTAAAAAATGAAAAAGACAAAAAAAAAAAAAAAAAAGAGATATCATCAAATTTGTTCAAGGTTGCACAGCTGTTAGGTCCTGAAGCTGGGATTTGAACCCAGGCCCTGTGACTTTGAGCTAGCTTTCTTTTTAGGGCTTCCTAAGTGATAAACGTGATCACTGCTAGTTGTTCCACAATGTTTATTGATTGTTTGTGTGTTATGCACAAACCATTTTGTGGTGACCACAGCACAAGTCCGGTCCTCCAGTAGCTTATTTTTAGACAGGATAAGCCAAGTGATTATACAGTACACTCACCTTGCAGGGTTGCTATATGTACATAAAAGTGCCTAACTTAATACATGTCACATGGTAGATACTCAAGAAAAGTTCCTAAGAAACTTACAACCCTGTGGGAGGATAACAAAGCATGCACAGAGAACTAAAACTCAGTAGAAGAGGTGCACACAAACAGAACCATAAAAGCCCAGAGAAGGAAATCAGTCTCAAACTCACAACAATCCTCCTGCCTCAGCCTCCTGAGCGATGAGATTATAGGTGTGCACCACCACACCTGGCAATTTTTTTTAAAGCAGGGTTTTGTTATGCAGTTCAGTTTGGCCTGGCTTTGAGTTCACTATGTAGCCCAAACTGGCCTTGAACTCATGGAGATCATCCTGCTTCAGCCTCCCCAGTACTGGGATTACAAGCATGGGCCATACCCAGCCCAACAAAGGTACTCTGATCTCCTCTCCATACTTAGTTATATTTTTCAGCTTTACTGAACCACAGCTGATATATGAAACACTGCACATAAGTCATGGATACTATTCAGTGATGTGCTTGTTTCAGAACTTTACATTCAAAGGAAGGTACAGTAAAACCTTGGTTTTCAAGCACAGTTCATTCCGGAAACACGTGTGTATTCCAAAGCACATACATGTTAAAGCCACTTTCCCCAGTGAAGGCTCAGATATTCATCCCACAATGCAAACATATGCATATAAAAGTGAGTATAATCCTATAATACAATACAAAATACTAAAGAAAGAGCAATGAACCGGCACTCACCTTTGAAAACCTTCCTGGCTGGGGCGAGGGAGTCAAGAGAGAAGAGGGCCACCGCACAAGGCGACTGTGACATCACTCGTGAAATAACTGCTGCTATTGGCTCAATGAAATCGCTTTCTTTTTGTGCAGCTTTAACCGGGAACCAGTGACACTTGGTTTGCTTCCCGTTGAGCATTTGCACAAGTGTGACCTTGCCTGGTTAAACAGATTCTCCGCTCACCACTACAGCCTCCCTCAGGGGCAGCTTTTCCACGAAATTCGGCAGGTTCCCCACATTTCAAACGTCTCCCTGACCTCATTTGAGGCGAGGATTCTTCTGCCTGTTTCTCTTCCTCATCTTTAGGTGAGATCTCCTCTGTAACTTTTTCTGTTGAAGTTGATCATCCACAATCCTGCAGAGGGAAGGAGAGAGGGAGAGAGAATGCACAGTGGTGATCAGGTGACAGTCAGCCCCCTGTCCTCGTGTGGCAGGACATCGCTTGTTTGCCAAGTTCAAATTTACTTGAAATGTTTTTCGTGTTGCAGAACAACCTCAGAGCAAGTTACTCGCAACCCAAGGTTTCCCCATGTATTGTAAACTCTCTGGCTTTGGGCTGAAACTTTTGAAATGCAATTGACTTGTACATTTTTTTTTTTCTTGAGACAGGGTCTTGCTATGCAGTTCAGGTTGGCTGTAACCTCAGTTTGTGGCCCAGGCTGGTCTCGAACTTGCAGTGATCCTCCTGCCTCAGCCTCCCAAGTGCTGGGATTTCAAGGGCACCACCATGCCTAGCTTACTTGTAAACTTTAAAACCACATTTACTCTACTTCAAACCTGCTGTCGAGATTTACTAGATTTTCGAAGCTGTCTCAGACCACTTAGCACCATGCCGTCCACCACTGTCCAAATGCTCAGAGGCTGACCAGTGGACCACAGCCTGAGGTTGGACAGGAGCTTCCTGTTCAGACCTCCCTGCAGGCAGCCATAGGTTGGTAAAGTCTCCATCTCCTTTCTACTGCTCTTTCTGAATTTGCCCCTCACCTGAATAATCAAGGGGTCTTGTTAATCGGTGCGCACTTCTAGGCCCCTGACTTAGAGACACTAATGCACTAGGTCTGGGTTGGACATGGGAATTCATGCTGCTGTGAAGCCCCAGCGAGTCTGGAGGCCAGGAAAACATGGAAGATTCCTTATTGGGAGGCTCCAGGTTTCGGTGGGGGTGAGGAAAGGTTACTTTCCTTTTCAACTGAATTATAACAGGGAAAGGAAAGGAAGGCTTACCTTACTGGGAAATGTGAGCAGAGATGATGATGATGATGATGATAGGAGGAGGAGGAGAGAGAGAGGAGAGAGGAGAGAGGAGAGAGGATACCAGGGGCTTTTAACATGATTAGGGAGAACAGGGAGACTCCTGCTAGCAGGAATCAGGGGCTGCTAGTGTGTGACAGCTTAACTTGCTTCTGGGGCGAAAAGGGGGAGCTATTTCATACACAGCCTTTTGCACTTACTGGTGACCTGGCAACATCTGGAGACATTCCTGATGCAGACAATCCCCAAGTGAGGGGGGGGGCAGAAGTCCTGGAATTGGACTGGTTGGTTGTAGTTGAATCACTGGCCACAGGACTGTTGCATAGCTGTCAGCCTTTAGATCAGAGTCCATTTCGTCCTTTATGATTTGGACAACTGACATTGTGACATTTAAGAGTTAAGAGGGTAGGTTCTGTACCCAGAGATCATAACGTTAAGTGAAATGAATCTGACTCACAAGCCTCAATCTCAGATCTTAACTAAAGTGTACACGGAAGACAAGTTTTTATGCAAATTTCAATGTCATTATAAATCTTTGAGTGATTACGAACAGAAACCTATTTTCTAGATTTTGTTTTTATTTATTCAGGGTCTGGTGCCGTGTGAATGAGTGAAATAACTTTACAGCTTTAATTAGGATGCTGTTGTTATTTTTCAATTAATCTGCGTCAGTAGCTTTAGCCTTTGTATTAAATCATTTTCCCCATGCAAGCTTTTAACGAGGAAACGAATTGATGTATTTATGTGTTGGATTCTGGCCACTGCGATGTGTATGCGGTCGTGTCTTTTGAAGAATATTTTTGCTGGTCATGCTGCGGTCAATCTCCAGCCTTTGGCAGAAAAAGAAATTCTTTGTTTGGATAAGATTTCTTTTTTTAATATAAAAAGATTATTCTTATCTCCATCTCTTTTTCTCTTTTCCTCTTGTTTTTGTGCAACATAGAAGGAAATGAAGCCCCCCATCTTATCGGAAATAAATTCAGAGCATTTCTTGGGGTGCTTTGCTCTGTCTCTGCCTCTTCTGGGGTCTCCTGCCCTGCCTGAAATTCAGTCTACCCTCCACTCCTTCAGCTCTGTCTGTCTGTCTGTCTCTCTTTTTGAGACAAGGTCTTGCTATGCAGTTCAGGCTGGCCTTGAATTCACTACGTAGCCCAGGCTGGACTCCAACCTGTGAGGATGCTCCTGCCTCAGCCTCCCGTGTGTCGTGGTCTTTCCCATTGAACTCTGTGTCCCCTGCCAGCCCTCCTGAGTCTTTACCTCCTCTTCTTGTCACCCTGCACCACATCCAAGAGGAAACAGGCTCAGTGTCCCAGGCCTCCAAGCTGTCCCTCTGGTCGCTGCTGGCCTCTGGGCCTGCCCGAGTCTCCTGTCTCTGCCCCCCTCCCACCGCCCCCTGCCCTCTCTGAGGCACCCTCTGTATAGGCCACGAGAACGTTCTGGGCCCCTCACATCACTTCCACACGACTTCACCACTTCATCACTGAGCCCACTTGGGGCATCTGATGCAAGGCAGAGCTGTGCTGACCTTACGGTCACTGGGTTCGGAACCTGAGAGACACAGGGTGTATCTGGGTGTCGATGTTAACAAATCTGCTTGAGGTCCTGGGACTTGAACCCAGAGCTGCTCTGCCACTGAGCTATGCCTGCACTCTCTCCCTATTGTTTTTTAAAAATTTGAGACAGGGTCTTGCTGAACTGCCAGGTTGGGCTCTGACCCTCCTGCCTCAGCCTCCTGGGGAGCTGGGATCACAAGGATGTGCCACTGCTCCTGCCTTACTTTTTTTTTTTTTTTTTTTAGTGCTCATAACAGCAACAGCAAAAAACAAAACAAAAAAAAATCAAAGCATCATAGTTGAAAAGTTTGTCTGAGGAGTAAATTTTACATGTTTTTCCTTTAAAAAGTTTCATTTTCAAATGTATATCATTTCCGAACCTGCTCCTGCTTCTGCACAAGGTGAACTGAGGCTGGCCTCGCAGCATGGGCTTCTGAACGCCTGTGGTTTATCCCAATAATCTCCCTGTGTTTCTCTCCCTCCCAGACACGCTGCTGGGCTCTGCAGGATTTGATCACAGCAGATATCCTTATCTTTTTTTTTTTTTTTTTTTTTTTTGTCTTTTTGAGACAGGGTCTTTAGGCAGTTCACGCTGGCCTTGAAATCACTTTGTAGCCCAGGCTGGTCTCGAACTCGAAACAATCCTCCTGCCTCAGCCTCCTGAGTGCTGGGATTACAGGCGTGAGCCACCACCCCGGCTTGGACATCCTTATCTTTAAATATAAGCCAGCTACCTGGGAGGCTGAGGCAGGAGGATCTCCAGTTCAAAACCAGCTTGAATAACAAGAAAGGGCAGGGGATGCAGTTCAGTGGCAGAGCACACCGGGGTTCCATCCCCAGGACTGCAGAAGCAAAACGACAGTGGAAGATACACAAGCGAGCAAACGGAGATGCCAGTAACTCCTTTACTATCAGAAAGAAAAAGAAAACCCTGAGCTCTGATGTGACAGTCAGGGTGCCTTATTTTGCTGCAGTGTACCAGGCTGACATTTTTTCATAGCTCATCAGGCTTTTTTTTGGTACTGGGGATCAAACTCACAACCTCATGCTTGCCAGGCAGGTGCTTATGCCGCCAAGCTGCATCCCCAGCCCTGCCCACTGGGTTTCGTTGGCTGCCTACTACGTACAAGCAGTCTAGGGGCTATGTAGACCCTGGCGAGGGGTTTGTCTCCACGGCAGGAAGCAGGAGGGAGTGGATGGTCCGAGGATCTCAGCAGCAACACCCTGCTCAAAATACTCCGCAGGGCTCTAGTGCCCAGTGAAGTCTTATTTAATTTCTTTTTAATTTCTCTTCATAGTCACCATCTTGGAGTGGACTTCAAAATTTCGGGGCAAGGAGCTGAGAGATCTAAAGCCGGTATCAGAGACTGACTCCAGTAGATTCTTCCGCACAAGTTTAGGTGGATCATTGTATTTTGTGACTCAGGACAGTGCTTCCAGGGTGGGAGTCTCAAGAGCACAGAAATATTACATCCCAAAACAGAACCCGAGATCTTCTTATGGCAGGTCTTTTATTACCTGAGTTACCGTGGTACTGGTTATTAACCACCGTAGATTATCTCTTATATACAAATCTCTCTTTTGCATGTTTGTATTTACCTTTTTGAGACAGAGTTTCACTCTGCAGTTCAGGCTGGCCTCCAACTCACAGCAGTTCTCCTGCCTCAGCCTCCTGAGCGCTGAGATTACAGGTGTGCACCATCATGCCCGGGGGATATTTCATGTTTTACACTCAATTGCAGGTAGGCGCTAGGTCTTCTACCTTGCATAGCACTGAAGGCCCTGGGCCTGAAGGGGCCGCTGGCTCCCTGGAGGGTATTTCCTCCACTGCCTGTCTCTGAGGCTGGTACCCAGACCCGAGTAAGATTTCCACCAGGGGGTGCTGTCTCCCCAGGTCTGTTCTTGGAAGTCGCTGGCCACATCCCTTTGGCCACTTGCCCATCCCTCTGTGAGGCAGGAGATGAGATGCTGGCATGATTAGTGGGACCCTTTCCAAGTGAGGTCACAGGAGATGAGTTCGGCTTCCTCACCCAGCAAGGCTCACCAGGGTCATTTCCTTGGGCATGAATCTGCCCTTCCCCAGTGGCGCTCTGCCCAAGACCAGTCGCAAGGGTTTCCCTGGTCCTGTGCTCAACCAGGTGACTGTCTGTGTCTCAGGGCTCCATGGCTCATGGCCAGGTGACATCCTGGTGCTGGTCTTTACAGTCTGTACGGAGACAGCCACAACAGAGAGCACAGAGCATCATGGGGAGGTGGGAGGAGCCTGGGGCGGGGTCCTCAGCCTGTGAGTTCTAGGCGCAAAATCTCAAAGCTGCAAGCCCAGCACCCTTCAATCATCCAGAGGAGATTCTGGTTTTGCTCAGCAGCTGGTTTACCAAGCCAGGGGTGCACGGTATGTGTTACATTTCTGTAAGTCACAGGGAAAAACTCTTGAATTCTTCAGAGGTGAAAACAGTTCCTCTGATGTTCTAGATCTACAGCATCACAGAGGCTGGCCTTTCTGGATTGCTGGCTTTATAATTCCATCAAGACCCCGTTCAGCTAATCCAGCGGGTCGTGTCCTCCTTGTGGGTGGTGGTGGTGGGGAGTTCTTTTCACTGATGAAATCTATGGACTCTTCTCCAAATGAACAGAAAACGCATACTATCTTTCACCAATTTTAGGTAGTTTATGACTCCTCCAAAGCCATCTGTGGACTCCAAGTTAAAGACTTCTGGTCCACCTCTGCTGAGCACTCACAGGCTGTGAAACAGAGCAGCTGCCTCTGCCCTTCATTCCTGGACATGTTTTCTGTATTGCAGCCAAGTGGAGTGTTGTTAACGTGGAAATTAAGAGTTTGGACTCCATTACCAGACAGATCTGGGCACAAATCTTGGCTCTGTTTCTTAATAGCTATGTGCTATTAAGATATATGAGTTGTTTGACTTTCGTAGGTCTCAGTTTCCTCATCTGTAAGATGGGAATAAAATAGTACTGACCTCCTGAGACTGTTATTAAAGTAAATTATATACATATGAAACCCATATGCAGCACAGTGCCCAGTGTATGTTACATGTTAACTATTTTGTAGTACTTGGTAGATGTGATTTGTTTTTTGTTTTGTCCTTCCTAGGCCTTTGCAATAATATTAGGATACTTAGGATCTATCTAAGTAGCTATTTGAGGGATTAAGACTCTGAATCATTTTATCTCGATAACCGTGTTTACTGGGCCATTTTATACTCAAGAATTTAATTACCACCTTCACCAGTGCTCCACAATCTAATGACTTAAGAGTCCATTTTCAGCAGAAATTGGTTCATTTTCAGTGGAAATATTCTAACATATTCTCTGAGTTTCGAATAGTTACCTACAAGAGCATGTTTGCAGTGTGAAAGATTGCCAGGCACGGTGGTGCACACCTGTAATCCCAGCACTTGGGAAGCTGAGGCAGGAGGATCATGAGTTCGAGTTGGACTCGGAGAGTTGACTCAGACAATTTAGCAGGATCCTGTTGTAAAAAAAAATAGATGTGTGCTGTTCCTTTCTCTGAATTAAATTTCAATGAATAGCATCTTTAATTTAAACACACAAATAGCAAACTTTGTCTTCCGCATCATTTAATTCTAGAATTTCACGCCTCCACCTTTTCCCGGTTCCAAACATGATTTGCATGGAGCCGGCAGCGCAGGACGGGGTGCAGAGGACTGATAGCCCCTTCTCCTATGGAAGCCGGCTTCACCGAGAAGATTAAGGGAGTGTCTGTTATCTACCCACACAGGCCTGCTAGGAAATTCTCAGAGGCTTTGAGGATAAACACAACCCTGCCTTTGTGCATTTAAATGCTTTTTCTTCTCAGCCTTCGGGTTTTGATTTAAATTTCTAGTTCCAGGCTTTTCAGACCCTCTGGCTGAAGAATGGTTTTCAGAGCAAAAGTTAAGAATTGGAAAGACTCGGCAGGATTTGACTAAATGCTTTGCGGAGAGCATAGAATTCTCCAGGGCAAAATTATCTTTCTGGGAACGTGGTGTGGCCGTGGATGCCTCCAACATGACAGGTTCAGGTTTAACACTGGCTGCACTCAACAGGACAAGATCAAGACCTTCAGGTGACCAGCAGATTTTAACGTGGGGTACCCTTTAGTGAGGGAATCACACTGCCCCCCTTCTATGCTTCCCTGTTGGAAGCGTCCTCTGTGAGTTTTGCAGGAGGAAGTGTGGCTTTGCTGCTGTCATGGTTTTAGGCAAATGTCTGTTAGGGTTATTGCATTAATTAGAGCTCAGAGTAGAGAGGGAGAAAAGTGTGGTTAAAAAAACAGATTCACACCTTGGAAAAAGAAGGTAGCCAGTGTACTTTCTGCTACTCCTTGTGGTTCAACGTATGATTCATATTAGCAGAAATATTTGTGTGCATGAAAAAACAAAATCACATGTGTTTCAAAAGTGCAACTGGGCCTGATAAGATATGTGCTGTGGTGGCATTTGCCTGTAATCCCAGCACTCAGGAAGCTGAGGCAGGATGATTACTGTGAGTTTGAGGCCAGCCTGGGCTCCAGAGTGAGTTCACGGCCAGGCTGAACTGCATAGCGAGACTCTGAGTCATCCCCCTCCCACCAAATGTGACCCAATGTGTGCATCACTGTGCAAATATTACTCTAACCAGGTTAGCAAATTACTCTAATCAGGTTAATAAACCCTGCATTGTCTCACAGGGTTACTCTCTTCTGAGACCCCTGAAGATCTTCTCTCAGCAAATCTCGGGTATATAATTCAGCATTACTCACCACAGTCACTGTACAGGTCAGTTAGCAGATCCTTAGAACGTGTTCATCTTACAACCGAAAATTTGCTAGAAATATTTAATTACGGTATTATGGGGAAAACAGCAGGTTTGGCTATTTAAATCAGTTATCCAGCCCTGCTACTTCCTGCGATATCTATTTGCTATGTGAGTCATTGCTCCACGGTCAGCGTTCTGAAGATGCAGTTGCTCTGCAGAGGCAAAGCCGTGCACACCAGTAAGCCAGCACCCTCACCTTCCTGCCTGACCCGTGAGAAGCCAGCGCCCGTAGAGACCGGAAGCAGAAATGCAGTAGAGACCGGAACCGGAAATGCAGTAGAGACGAACCGGAAGTGCATGTCAGTTTGCAGAGGGGAGCATGGGAGAGGAAGACGCAAAGGAGGTGGAGAGCATCAATAAATATTATCCTGTTTACCTCCGCCCCCTTTGCCATCGTGAGCATTGTGGAAAGGTGTGTGTGTGTGTGTGTGTGTGTGTGTGTGTGCATGCGTGTGTACCAGTACGTTTGCTTGTATTTCTATCTGATTAGAAGCTGGGTAACAGTGAGGGTTGAGAGTTCTGGCAAAGCCTCAAGAAAGGATGGAAAATTGCAGAAAAGCACCCATCTGCTGATTTTGCCTGCCTAGCTGTGTTCTACAGGAAAAAAGAGTTTGCACGATGAGAAACCGATTCTCACCATTGGTGTGCTCACACTGACCCTCCAGGGCCAGAGCCCGAGGTTTCCCCCTCTCCAGCCTCCACTGGGCGAAGCTGGTGGCCTCGGCCCGTCTGCCCCCACCCCGAGCTCTTCTGGTCAGCCTGGGGTCAGCCTGGCCAGTTCTGGGATGGGAGGAGCAAGAAGCGATGACCGTCGAGTTTCTGCTCTGCCCTCCCTTCCTGTGTCTGACCATCTCCCCCCATATTATGGGGACACCCTCCCCTCTGACCTTCCCATTTCCTAAAGGTTTATTTTATGGCGGGGGGGGGGGGGGACGGCGGGAGAACCAAGCCGCTCACAGGGTTAATGTTCCTCCCTGGTAAGACCAGACCGGTTTCCGTCCTGCGTCCCTGTAGGTGTCCTTCCCCCCGAAGTGGCCGTGGGCTGTGGGTTCTTAAAGAGCTTGTGGCCAGGGCTGTCTCACTGTGACACCGAGGGCGGCGGGGCCTTTCGGGTTGGTTGTTGTGTGAGTACAGAGGCGGGTGCAAGGCTGATCTAGGAAGGGACTGAATACACAAGAGGGGAAAAATATCATAGAGAAGACCATGAAGCTCGGGGTGGGAAGATGGCTCTGTCCCTGAAAAAGTGCAAGTCAGGTTCCAAATCAGTGACTTGGAGTGACGCTCAGGGCCACAGGATTGCATTGTTAGCCTCACTAATGGTTTTGTAGCCCTGGGCTCGGACGCCAAAACGTGAGAAAAGCCCGAGCCCATGGCACCTACAGAGTGGAGTGTAGGTGTCCGAGGGTTGAGGGTGTAGGTGGTGGCTGCGCTGTGGCGCGGTGGTTGTCATAACAACTGGAGGTGGTTTCAGAAGGAACCATCTTGCTGGGAGCCTGTCGCCCAGGGGAGAGGTTTCCTCCTGGCTCTTAAATCACCATTACCTGTGTGCTACAATGTGTTCATGCAGCTTTTAAGAAACTTTCAAAGCCGGGCACAGTGGCCTTGCCTGTAATCCTAGCACTCTAGGAGGCTGAGGCAGGAGAGTGCTAAGTTCCACTCCCAGCCCAAGCAATTCAGCAGTTTAGTGAGGCCCTGTCTCAAAATTTAAAAAATGTTAGAAAAGGATAGTGAGGGAGCTCAGAAGGTCCTAGGTTCAATGCCTAGTCCTAAAAAAAAAATCATATCCCAAAGACAGCTGTGTACGGCATCAAAAGTAAGAAACCCAAGTCGGACTCATCTCCGGTTTTTCTCTTGTGTTTCAGGTACTGCTGGGACCTCCCACCGCAAGGTGAGTTCCCGGTGGCTGTTGGGCTGTGCACTGAACAGGTGCAGGGGTGTCGTCTGTGTGGCTTTTCTGTCTGGGCTTCTCCACCGAGGGGCATTAGCTAGTGCCCGGGAACAAGTTTGCGGGCTGTCTGATTAACCATCACCCTGCTGGGCTCCCCACCCCAGTTTTCAGCCACAAGAGGTGCCCTGCTCCCACCTCCTGCTGGGTTATTTTATTGAACCGGGGAAATGCCACACTTTTATTCCTTGGGTTTTGTTAGGTGCCAACAAGAGCTCGGCTCACTCCAGTAACACGGTCCATCATGGAGCCTTGGGCGGGCTCCAGCCCCGCTAAGCCTCCTGTGCTCCAGAAGCACAGTGCGTCACCCTCTCCGGCTCAGTGCCCTGCAGCCCGCCTGCCTGGCAGCGGGGAGGCATCGGCACGGAGCCGGGCTGAGAGCCCCCTCCAGAGCCGCCTCGGCACATGTTAATCTGAGTCTCCCCGGCCTGGCTGCTTCTAATTGCTTCGCAGCCATTGTCTCCCTGCCTTTGCTTGATGAACCCGGCATCTGGTGTGATTCTAAAAAGTACAACAGCCAGCTGTGTGCAAAATTAAAAAGGGGGGAAAAAACCCAAGCAGGACAGGATTAGAATGCATTTTTTAAAAGTTCAAAAGTCAGAGATTTTACAAAATTCGCATAGTTGGAGGGGACGTCCTTCTTTCTCATTCTCCCGTGAGGATGTCAGGGATTTGATCCCGAATATTAATTATCTAAAGTTATAAATAAACGGGGAGGGTCGCTGTTTTCCAGAATCAAAGTGTTTTAGATCAGACTTCTAATGGCTTTACGAACTGTTTTGCTCTGTAATTTTATTTTGTTTTTTAAAAAATGAACTTTTCCAATATTATTTTCTTGGTATTATCAGTGTGTGCAGCCTCAGGGAATAGTGATACTTTCAAGACATTAAGTAGCAAATGGTGACAGAATCTCAGTGTTCTAGCTTTGGTTTTGGTTTTGTGTCTATCAAGGCTGTCTGAGGCTTTTAAGCTCTTTTTAAAAACCTAGTTTAGGAAATAATCTTTTAAAGCTTTTTTTTTTTTTTTTTTTTGAAAACCAATCCTCTGGCTGGATAAAGTCACAGTACTTTATAGTAGTCTTAATAACCTGGCACGGCGTTTATCCCGTCCTGGAGGGTTTGAACCCTTCCTAGCTGAGATGGACCTGACTACCTGAGCGGTAGGGAGTGGTGGTGATACTGTAGCTGCTGGCTTTGCGGAATGAGGACCCTGTGGTGCAGGGCTTAACAGGTGTTAACCAAAATCCACAGAGGCAGAAAATGACAGTGAATTGGCAGAAATGAACGGCACTGTGACAGCAGGATTAATCAGCTAAGCAGAAACAAAGCCTTGGTGTCAGGGAGGTGGTGCGGCCTTGCGTTGGGAAGAGGGGGTGTGTGGGGGTTAAAGCCCCCGGTGCAGGGTGGGTGCCCTGGGGTCATCCGCCAACATGTGACCACTTCTCCATGCCCTTCTCTGCTAGATGGCCAAGGTCAGACAGTTGAAAGTAGCTTCTTTGGAACAGAAATAGGATCTGTTTCTCAGCCATGATGGACCACGAGCAGCAAAATCTTTGCTCATCTGTCTGGAAGTAAATGCAGGGAAAACTCAAGTTGAGACTATTGCATTCTGGCCCCTAGTGTCACTCTTTCTCTTATAGACATTTTTGAGGGGCAGAGAGAGACCAGGCTGCTGCCAGCTGGCCGCTCTGAGCTCTGAGCTCCCACCATTTCAGATGCCAAACAAAGCAGTGGAAGAGAAAGAGAAAACACCGGCAGGAGACTTCAGGAAGCCCGGGGAAACCAAAGTGTTAGGATCGGAGTGGCAAGGGACAGAAGCATGGCCTCAGACACCCCAGTGTTTTCACCTGTGCCAGAGCTCTGCAAAAGGTCACGGGAAGCATTTTATTCACGCTGGCGCCGTGCCCGAAATGCACACTCAGGTTTTCAGGGTATTTGGACTAAAGCAGTTTGCCTGGGAAGAAAATCGTCTTAAAACATAAAAGATCTCTTATTTGGAGATCTTTTAGTGGCACATATTTTTTCAGAGTAACAGCTTTATTGAGATATAATTCACATACCATAAAATTCATCCTTTCAAAGCATACAAGCCAGTGGTTTTTAGCGTCGTCACTACCCAATTTCACGACATTCCCTTCACCCCAGTGAGGAATCCTGCACCCAGCCACCCCGGGGTCCTCCCTCTCGGTGTCTATACTTTACTGTCTCGTTACGAGGTTGTCGGGGTTAGCGAGGCACAGCAGACAGCCAGGAAATGTTCTTTGCATTTATAGTAACAGATGGCAAAGATGCAGCTTCCCTTCACCATTTCCACCCAGGTTTTCTCATTGGCTCACTGTCAGCTTCCTAATGTGCCCATTTGAGAAGAAGAAAGCCAGAAAAAGAAAACCTAACCCCAAGAATGTATTGCTTTAATGCAGAGGAAACATGAACAGAAAAGTTCTTACAATGAACTTCTGTTGTTTTTAAAGACAGGGTCTGGATGGGTAGCTCAGGCCGGCCTCAAACTCTTGGTGATCCTCCTGCCTCAGCCTCCCAAATATTGGGATTATACGCCTGCACCACCCTATCCAGCCTTTAATGAACTTTAAAAGAGTTCTTTTAATATAATTGAACAACATGAAAAAGGCTTGTTGTTATTTTACTGTAAGAATATGGTTTTATTTTTCTTACTTATTTTTATTTTATAATGAGTTTTACATAGAATTATCTTTTTTTTTTTTTTTTTTTTGTCTTTTTCCTTTTTATTGGTACCGGGGATCGAACTCACGACTGCCTGCTTGCAAGGCAGGCGCTTATGCCACTGAGCTAAATCCCCAGCCCCTACATAGAATTATCTTGATAATTCAGCTCCTGCTCACCTTAAAAACTTTTCTTGCTTCATTTTTCACTCAAAGTTACACAGAAAATCCAATGGACTCTTTGCCATGGAACTGGTGCCATCGTCAGGATCAGAGATTTAACTGTTCCAAATAAAAACATCAGGTTAGCCTTTAAATTTGATGCCAAGATCACTTTAACTCACTCGGCAGACTGAGTTTCCTTTGTTTTGCCTCTGTTTCCCCTTTCATAAAATGATTTTGTCATATACAATTTTAGTTTAATAAACCAAAAATTCACTTATAGAATCTAATATTTGTAATTCAAAATCTGCCACTATAAAATGTATTTATGGAAACCAGACAGAAGTTTCTGACGTGGACTCCAGAGTCTAAACCAAATGGCACCAGATTTAAATAAAACGTTAGTACAGACCTAGGAATATTATGAAGAGGTTTAACAAAGGCTTACCTTCCTCTAGTCTTTCACTGCATTTGTGAAATTGCAGTAAATTCAGGCCAGGGAAATTGCTCACAAGCTTAATGATTCTTTGAGCATCCGCATGGGTGGTGAACAGAGCTTCTGAGGAAATTATCCTGTACTTCAATATGAAAAACACCTACTTTGTGAATCTTAAAAATCTCACTTTGAAATTGTAGACCACTTCAGGGTAAACTGACACCTAAAATACAGCTTGACAAACACAGGTAGTACAAAGCGAGTTTGTAAACTGTTACCCTAAAGCCGTGTTGACTACAGGTTTTAAAAGATTGATGAGGTTTATTCCTGAGTGGGTTCGGTGAATCCAGACCAAGCTATAAAAACCCACCTCTGTGAGAACATCAGGGATGAGGAAGCTAACTGGTAATTTTTGTTTTGTTTTGTTTTTGTCTTTTTGAGACAGGGTCTTGCTATGCAGTTAGGCCGGCCTCGAGCTTACTGTGTTGCCCAGGCTGCTCTCGAATTTGCAGTGATTCTCCTGCTTCAGCCTCCTGAGTGCTGGGATAATAGGCATGCGCCACCACACCCGGCTCTTACTGGTTATTTTATGTTACAAACTAACTGCTGTTAATTGTGTTAAGGGTCACAATGGCATTAAATGATATTATAATCAGGATTTTTTAAAGAGTCCATAAAGAGGTGATATTTAAAGGTAAAATCTGGAAAATAATATAAGAGAAAAGAAAAAGCCAGCGGTCTCTAGATGAAACAAAATTGATCATAAATTGACATTTGGTGCTGAGTGATGTATTCCAGCACTTATGACACTGTTTTGCATACTTTTGTACATGTTTAAAATTTTCCATAATGCAGAGATAAAGAAAAAGAAATTCACGCAAAACTTGATTTAAAAATATGAGATTACTTTATTCCTGTCTTGAGAACTGGTACATTAATGCATACAATACTTTATGTATCTGACTGAAAACACACATGGAATCATGAACTGTGTTTTAAAGTTGCTTCAAGTTGACCTTGTTGTGGTGGGAGAGTGTGGGTTGTGAATCAGACCCGAACAGGAATGCCAGGTCCTCTTTCTGGGAGCCTCTGCATGTTGGTATCCTCAGCTATAAACCCCCCGCTAATTCAGGCTGCTTCCCAACGAGGAGTTTCAGGGAGTTGTTAAGAGCGGGACCAGGCAAGTGCCTGTGTGGAGTTTCGATAAAGTATGTTTCATGCGTATTTCCACATTTCAGGATCAGGGATGCAACTCAGTGGCACAGCGCCTGCCTAGCAAGTGCAAGGTTGTGAGTTCGATTCTTGGCACAAAACAAGAACAAAATCACCTCACCCGTTCCCCCTGAGTCCTGGCTCAGGGCCATGGATTCACACGTGTGTGTTTTTAAAGGTTTGTTTTTGTAGGGTGCATGTATAGAATTTTATTGCTCAGTACTTCAGGGGTCAGATTTATGAGCCCATTGGCAGTGTGATGCCCGACACACGTCGGTGGAAGCTCCAGAGTCGCCTGACTTGTCCCTCACAGTCACTCACTTGGAGCATGTAGTTATGACAACCACAAGAAGCAAAACATGAGAGCAGCATAGAAACACAATCTTTAAATCCCAAAGGAGAGAAGGAGGAGCCGAGGGCTTCCTTTGAAGTGGCAGGGAGTGTTTTCGAATT